TAAATAGTTCTTGACCTGTATTTGCTAATAGAGACTTGACTGCCTGTATTTGTAACTGAAGACTTTACTGCCTGTATTTGTAACTAGAGACTTTGGTGCCTGTATTTACTGCTAGAGACTTTACTGCCTGTATTAACTACAAGAGACTTTACTGCCTTATTTACTACTGGAGACTTTACTGCCTGTATTTACAACTGGAGACTTTACTGCCTGTATTTGTAACTAGAGACTTTGGTGCCTGTATTTACTGCTAGAGACTTTACTGCCTGTATTTACTACAAGAGACTTTACTGCCTTATTTACTACTGGAGACTTTACTGCCTGTATTTACTACTAGAGACTTTACAGCCTGTATTTACTACTAGAGACTATAGTGCCTGGATTTACTACTAGAGACTTTACTGCCTGTTTTTACTACTACTTTACTGCCTGTATTTACTACTAGAGACTTTACTACGTGCATTTACTACTTGAGACCTTACTGCCTGTATTTACTACTAGAGACTTTACTGCCTGTATTTACTACTTAAGACTTTACTGCCTGTATTTACTACTAGAGACTTTACTGCCTGTATTTACTACTAGAGACTTTACTGCCTGTATTTACTACTAGAGACTTTACTGCCTGTATTTACTACTAGAGACTTTACTGCCTGTATTTATAACTGGAGACTTTACTGCCTGTATTTACAACTCGAGACTTTACTGCCTGTATTTACTACTAGAGACCTTTCTGCCTGTATATACTACTCCAGACTTTACTGCCTGTATTTACTACTAGAGACTTTAGTGTTGTATTTACTACTTAAGACTTTACTGCCTGTATTTACTACTAGAGACTTTACTGCCTGTATTTACTACTAGAGACTTTACTGCCTGTATTTACTACTCCAGACTTTAGTGCCTGTATTTGCTACTAGAGACTTTACTGCCTGTATTTACTACTGGAGACTTTACTGCCTGTTTTTACTGCAGGAGACTTTACTGCCTGTTTTAGCTACAGGAGACTTTGTTGCCTGTAATTACTCCTAAATATTTTTTTCTTTTTTAATGTTTACAATAATAGTTCTCTTTGCCACGAATGGACAGTTTTTTTTTTTTTTACCATATCTTCTAATGTTTACAGTAATAGACAAGTTCGCTTGGTCGTATCTTCTAATGTTTACAGTAAAAGACAAGTTATCTTGGTCGTATCTTCTAATGTTTACAGTAATAGACAAGTTCTCTTGGTCGTATCTTCTAATGTTTACAGTAATAAACAAGTTCTCTTGGCCGTATCTTCTAATGTTTACAGTAATAGACAAGTTCTCTTGGCTGTATCTTCTAATGTTTACAGTAATAGACAAGTTCGCTTGGTCGTATCTTCTAATGTTTACAGTAAAAGACAAGTTATCTTGGTCGTATCTTCTAATGTTTACAGTAATAGACAAGTTTGCTTGGTCGTATCTTCTAATGTTTACAGTAATAAACAAGTTCTCTTGGCTGTATCTTCTAATGTTTACAGTAATAGACAAGTTCTCTTGGCAGTATCTTCTAATGTTTACAGTAATAGACAAGTTATCTTGGTCGTATCTTCTTATGTTTACAGTAATAAACAAGTTTGCTTGGCTGTATCTTCTAATGTTTACAGTAATAGACAAGTTTGCTTGGTCGTATCTTCTAATGTTTACAGTAATAGACAAGTTCTCTTGGCCGTATCTTCTAATGTTTACAGTAATAGACAAGTTCTCTTGGCTGTATCTTCTAATGTTTACAGTAATAGACAAGTTCTCTTGGTCGTATCTTCTAATGTTTACAGTAATAGACAAGTTCTCTTAGACGTATCTTCTAATGTTTACAGTAATAGACAAGTTCTCTTAACCGTATCTTCTAATGTTTACAGTAATAGACAAGTTCTCTTGGTCGTATCTTCTAATGTTTACTGTAATAGACAAGTTCGCTTGGTCATATCTTCTAATGTTTACAGTAATAGACAAGTTCTCTTGGCCGTATCTTCTAATGTTTACAGTAAGAGACAGGTTCGCTTGGTCGTATCTTCTAATGTTTACAGTAATAGACAAGTTCTCTTGGCTGTATCTTCTAATGTTTACAGTAATAAACAAGTTCTCTTGGTCGTATCTTCTAATGTTTACAGTAATAGACAAGTTCGCTTAGTCGTATCTTCTAATGTTTACAGTAATAAACACGTTCTCTTGGTCGTATCTTCTAATGTTTACCGTAAGAGACAGGTTCGCTTGGTCGTATCTTCTAATGTTTACAGTAATAAACAAGTTCTCTTGGCTGTATCTTCTAATGTTTACAGTAATAGACAAGTTTGCTTGGTCGTATCTTCTAATGTTTACAGTAATAGACAAGTTCGCTTGGTCGTATCTTCTAATGTTTACAGTAATAAACAAGTTCTCTTGGCTGTATCTTCTAATGTTTACAGTAATAGACAAGTTCCCTTAGTCGTATCTTCTAATGTTTACAGTAATAAACAAGTTCTCTTGGTCGTATCTTCTAATGTTTACCGTAAGAGACAGGTTCGCTTGGTCGTATCTTCTAATGTTTACAGTAATAGACAAGTTCTCTTGGTCGTATCTTCTAATGTTTACAGTAATAGACAAGTTCGCTTGGTCGTATCTTCTAATGTTTACAGTAATAAACAAGTTATCTTGGTCGTATCTTCTAATGTTTACAGTAATAAACAAGTTCGCTTGGTCGTATCTTCTAATGTTTACAGTAATAAACAAGTTATCTTGGTCGTATCTTCTAATGTTTACAGTAATAGACAAGTTCTCTTGGTCGTATCTTCTAATGTTTACAGTAATAAACAAGTTCTCTTGGTCGTATCTTTTAATGTTTACAGTAATAAACAAGTTCTCTTGGCTGTATCTTCTAATGTTTACAGTAATAGACAAGTTCTCTTGGTCGTATCTTCTAATGTTTACAGTAATAGACAAGTTTGCTTGGTCGTATCTTCTAATGTTTACAGTAATAGACAAGTTCGCTTGGTCGTATCTTTTAATGTTTACAGTAATAGACAAGTTTGCTTGGTCGTATCTTCTAATGTTTACAGCAGGTCCAGATGGTATCCCAGCAGAAGCTATTGAGGCCAACATAAACACATCAACGGAATTGCTACAAAGACTATAGTAAAGTCTGGGAGATCGAAGAAATACCAGCACTGGAGAGAAGGATATCTTGTGAAACTGTCCGAAGAAGGTGATCTATAGGAGTGTGAAAACTATAGAGGAATTATGCTGCTGTCAGTTCCTGGAAAAATATTAAGTAGAATTATTTTGGAAAGATTTAATGATGCTATTGATTAAAAGCTAAGAGATGAACAGACAGGTTTTCGGTCAAACAAATCCTGTACTGACCAGACAGCCACATTACGTGTAATAATAAAACAAAGCAATGAACTGAACTCACCACTTTACATTGGATTCACAGACTATGAAAAAGCACTGACAGCATTGATAGGGAATCTCTCTGGAAATTGATGGGGCACTATGGAATCCCACAGAAAATTATCAACTTAGTAAAGGCAACATATAAAGACATGAAATGTCGAGTTCTTCATGAGGGAAAGCTAACAGATACATTTGAAATAAAAACCAGTGTGCGACAGAGATATCTTTTGCCGCCTCTCCTATTTTTACTAGGCAATAGACTGGATTATAAAGACAGTAATTTCTAACACCAAGAATGGAATTCAATGGCCCCCTACAAAACAGCTTGATGATCTGGACCGCTGATGATATTGCTCTTCTGTCCAATTTACAGAATCAAACACAAGACAAATTAAGTACACTTGATGCGAGATCACAGCAGCTATGTCTGAAATCCCATAGAGGAAATACAAAGGATAATGAGAATAAATCAGGCAAATAGTAATGTGGTTTCTCTTAATGGCACTCCACTCCAAGACGTTGATTTATACACCTATTTGGGCAGTAATGTAGATAAAGATAGGGGAACATAGAGATATTAAAAGAAGAATGCAAAAGGCAAGAGGAGCTTTCATAGCACTAGGGAATTAGTGGAGGTCAAAATAAATACTAAACTTTCAATGTTTAATTCTAATGTTAAATCAGTGCTTTTGTGTGAAGCCGAAACATGAAGAACAACTAATGCAATTACTAATAAACTACAGTCATTCATTAACTGGTGCCTGCGCAGAATAGAGGGAATCAAAGGGTATGATAGAATAACTAATGTAGGACTTTGGAAGAGAGCTAAGCAAGCTCCAGTGGACAAAAGGTGAAGAAAAGATGCTGGCGTTGGATAAGACACACATTAGGAAAACAAGAAAACAATATAACTAGAATGTCTTTGCACTGGAATCCACAGGGGCATAGGAATAAAGGAAGACCAAAAAACACACGGAGAAGGGAGCTGGAGAATGAAGTTAGAAAGATGGGAAGGACATGGGAAGACCTGCATGCGATAGCAAAGGATAGAACAACTTGGCGTGAGTTGGTTGAGGGCCTATTCTCCATTGGGGGCTAAAAAGGCAGAAGACAAAGTGCCAAGACCAACAGTGTGCCACTAGAATTGCAATTCACACCTGATGAAAGCAGCAGTCACACAAAACCAGTAGGTGCACACATATAACTGCATACGACACACTGCCAATTATGTGTAAAACCAGTAGGTGCACACATATAACTGTATACGACACACTGTCAATTATGTGTAAAACCAGCCACTCACTATTTTCTGAATAAACAGTTCACAACATGAATCGCCTGGAGCACAGAAAATAAGGATTTCCGATGAAATCAACAGCACACAGTGTCGCACCATTCAGTATTGTCCAATAGAACAAAATTTTACCTTTACTCTATTTGCGATTGAAAACCCAATATTCCACAGGGTTAGTGGGTAAGAGAGGCTAAAAGACAGGAATCTTGCATTGTTTCCCAGTTAAGATTTCTGGTCCAGCGAACTGACCTGTTAGTCAGCAGACCGTCAGTCAGTACATTGTCAGTGTTCGGCACACAAATATTACCTTTCTAGCTGCACCGTTGCCTCTTGGAGCCTGTCAAGTCCTCTTCTTTTACAGGTTGTCTGATGGATTTGTTTTCCAACCAACTTTCCCATTCAGCAAAGAAAACCTGGTACAAAACAAGTGGATTCTGGGTAATGAAGTCATTAAAAAATGTTTTATTGTATTTGTGTTTATTAATTCAATCTAGTCCTGCCAATCCCCACCTCAGACACTTTTTAACGTGTTAATTCAATCTACACCTGCCAATCCCCACCTCAGACACTTTTTAACGTGTTAATTCAATCTACACCTGCCAATCCCCACCTCAGACACTTTTTAACGTGTTAATTCAATCTACACCTGCCAATCCCCACCTCAGACACTTTTTAACGTGTTAATTCAATCTACACCTGCCAATCCCCACCTCAGACACTTTTTAACGTGTTAATTCAATCTACACATGCCAATCCCCACCTCAGACACTTTTTAACGTGTTAATTCAATCTACACCTGCCAATCCCCACCTCAGACACGTTTTAACGTGTATAAATCTGGTTGAAGATATTTCGGTGTGTACTTCAGTGTTTTAAAGATCTAGACTGAAAATCTATATAGCAGATACAGATTTCTCAACCATTTATTCTCTCAATGTCCAACCAATTGTTCCTCACAATCGAATTACAGTAAACCCTCTTAATAAAAACTCACTTAAGAATACTTAGTTAAAACAAACAGAATTTGGATCCCAGTGAAAAGTATTAAATATTGTAGAAACTTTTACAAGTGAAATCAAATTTTTATTACCACAAACTGTTTAAAGTCCCTTGCATCACTAAATTAAATCATTTAATAGCTTTTAAGAATTCTCTTTCTCGTCTCAACTGACAAAGAAAGATTGCATAAAATATTTGTCATTTTTTAAAATTCTACCTTTGCTTAAGCTATTTGACATTTAACTTCTTTAATACATCTTTCACCTAATGTTGTCAGGGTACCGAAATACTTAAACATATCAACTTGCTTGAGGTTTGTCCCATTGACTTTGATGTTGCATTTTGGAAGGTCAGTTTTCTTTGAAATTACTATTACTTCTGTTTTCTGCTGTTAACTTCCCTTTACAATTATACTGATCATTTCTTGCAGTTGTGTTTCATTTTCAGCGATCAATACTATATCCTTAGCATATTGCAGATTGTTAACAATTTGCCAACCAACCGATATTCCCTGTCTAACATCTTGTTGAATGTTTTGAAAAGTTCCAACTTCATTGTCAATCCTAATGGCTGCTTCTTGTTGCCAGTATATGTTTGTTTTTTTAAAATTATTCTAAACTAAACATATGATAGTTCAGGAAATCAAATTTTCTCTTATTTTTAAAGTATATAAATTGTTGATACTCACCTTATGAGATTCAGTTACCACCTGGATCGTTTCTTCCAGAAATAGATCCACACATGATCTTTTGCGCATTAGCTGTAATAGCAGAGGATTTTGGTGAAATACAGAGTGTCGGATTAAAAATAAATAAGTTCATTCACATCATGCCTCCTTTTACAAAAAATAAATATATATATATATATATATTTTTTTTTTTAAACAGTAATGCACCTGACAAGATACAGTAAAATTCTATATACTTACAAGGAAAGTTCAAGCTATTAATAAAACTGTTTTTATTCCAAGAAAATCTTACCAACAGCAATTTGTTTCTACTATAAATTTCTGTATCAATGTTCCTTAACTGAAATAATTGTACAAGACAACACAGATATGCAAACCAATAAGGCTTATTTGGTCTTAGACACATTTTTGCTTCACTCAAGTGGGCAGAGCCTTGTCATTTGAACACACTTTCAACATACAATTTAGGAGTGAAAAGTTATCAAAACTAGTGCCAAGGCTGTATTGAATATCTGCCTCTGCACTCGTGTTACAAGCAGCAAATTATTGTTACACAGCTCTAAAGAAGCAATCAAATCAATCTTCATAGCACCCAGAGGCACATAAGGCAGAGACAAACTGTCGCCACTCAATTCTATTCTGAGCCATCCTCTCTATCTTGAGTTTTGTACTTCGCGTAACCTTGAGTTCAGCCTCAAAGGTTTGCCTCTAAGTGCCTGCCTCTTCCTCACTGTACTTGTGTGTGGTGTCCGTTGCATTGCCTGTCTCTGCCATCTCTCTTTCTTCATTCTCAGGACGTGTCCAGTTCACCACCACTTTTGTCTTTTGATTTTGCTGTTTCCAAACCTACATTATTACTTGACTATTACTTTAGGGCTTTCACTTTTGGGGTTTATCTTTAGCAGTTTTGTTTTATTTACATTGATTCTTAACTCTGTTTTGCTATTTCTGTGGTCTTATCCATCTTTTGTTGCAGAAATTCTTTACTTTGGCTGATGACACAGATATCACCTGCAGAGTCCAAATGTTTCAGGTGTTTGAGAAGATTCCATTAAAGGCCCGTCCGTGTGCCTGTGGTTGCTTTCTTCATACACAATCTATCACTATGAGAAGCAAGAAAGGTGACAGAATGCACCTTTGTCCAACTCCTGATGTTACCCAGAAGTAATCTGTTTCCATGAGTTCTACCTTCACTTTGCATTGGTATCCTTCATAAAGTCCTTTAAATATGTTTATAACTTTATCTGGTAACCCATACGCAGCAAGGATCCCGCACATCATTGTTCTATCTAGACTGGCAAAGACCTTTTCAAAGTCTATAAAATTAATATATAATGTGGCATTCCATTCAAAAGCTTCTTCAACAATATTCCTGACAGTGAAAATACGATCACAGCAGTTTCTTCCTTTTCTGAATCCTGCCTGATCTTCCGACAGAACTGTCTATGGACGTCTTAATTCTGTTGTATATCTCTCTACAGAGTGTTGTATTTCACCCTACAGAGTGTTGTATTTCACCCTACAGAGTGTTGTATTTCACCCTACAGAGTGTTGTATTTCACCCTACAGAGTGTTGTATATCACCCTACAGAGTGTTGTATATCTCCCTACAGAGTGTTGTATATCACCTTACAGAGTGTTGTATATCTCCCTACAGAGTGTCTTTCCGGATACAGACAATAATATTATGCCTCTCCAGTTGTTGCAGTGGGAGAGATCAACTTTCTACGGTACTGAGGATTACATCATTTTTTCAGTCTGTTGGAACCACTTCATTTGTCCATATTTTATTGAATGTTCCATGTAATGCTTTTGCTGTAAGTTTTGAGTCTGCCTTTAACATGTCAGCACGAATTCAGTCTTCATCAGATGCCCCTCCCCCTTCTTCATGTCTATTTAGCAACTCAATAAAATATTGTACCCATCTGTTAACCTTTCCTATTTCTGTTGTGATTATTTCTCCTGTTTGTCTTTCAGGTTTCCTTCATTAAAGCTAAAAATGTTTCTGACTAAGATCCTTTATTTTATACAATATTCTAGTCTCACCTGTCATTGCTGCTTTTTCTGCTTTGGCAGCTTTGAGTTCCTAATATTCCTTTTTGTCTTTCTTCGAGCTTTCTTCACCTCTTTATGTTTGGTGTTGTAAGCCTTCTGTGTGGCCATCTTTCTTCACCTCTTTATGTTTGGTGTTGTAAGCCCTCTGTGTGGCCATCTTTCTTCACCTTTTTATGTTTGGTGTTGTAAGCCTTCTGTGTGGCCATCTTTCTTCACCTCTTTATGTTTGGTGTTGTAAGCCTTCTGTGTGGCCATCTTTCTTCACCTCTTTATGTTTGGTTTTGTAAGCCTTCTGAGTGGCCATCTTTTCCAACGGGCTCTTTGCAAGGTTTATTTCTCTTTTTGCAATTTACTTTCTTTTATCTTTGACCAGGATTATTGAGATATCCATTCCTCTTTCACACGTTTCTTAATACCAAGTATTTTCTGGCCTGCATTGAAATACACATCTTTAGACTGCCGATTCTTTTTCAATATGCGCTATCTCTGGTAGGTGGTTAAACACGACAAACTGGTTTCTTAGTTCGACACAAAAATCTTTTCTGACGCCTAAAGGCATGGAAACGATCCTTTACAAGTGTGCAGAGCCTTATCATTTGATACACATTTTCAACACACAGTTTAGGAGTGATAAATTACCAACACTAGAAATAAAGCTCTATATGATATCTATCTCTATGTCCCAAGCATTCAATTATTGATACTCACCTCTAAAGAAGCAATCACAAAGCGATAATCTAGCATTTGCTCTTGCAAGATTTGTTTGACTGCTGCCACTGTACAGTCATCCACTTTACGAGATAGATCTGATGGAAGGGATCCACACAATTTGTAAGTATTCAGATATTGCTAGTGTCATATGCTACAGTATTTAATGAAATATACCTATAACAAATAAGTTGGTTTTTAAATTATAAAATAGGACCATTTCTGAGGTGATACAGCTTACAGTTGACTGAAGTATCACATAGATCCAGAAAGATGTCACTGTACAATGAGAACTGGTCACTTGAATCTGATGTAGGCATTCTCTGTTCACATTATGAGATGGGTATAAATAGGAAAGTTTATTTGTTGTGAAAATTGTGCGGCAGGAGATGACACAGCAAGATCTAAGGGAGCGGCTAGCCTGCTAGGAATCACAGAAGGACAAATATCTGTACAATAACTTGCAGACAAGTAAAATGGACCATAGATAGATATACTTCTCATGACATGGACTACAAGAGATATCAAGCATGTCACAACCAAAAAGAAAAAAAGAAAAAAACAAACATGGATGCTTATGTGTGCACATACATGCCTGTACATTTTTATGTAGGTACACAAAGTTAGTCTCATACACATAATCATGTATGTAGGTACACAGAATAAGTCTCATCTACATCCACATGTATGTTGATACACAGAGTTAGTCTCATGCATGTACATATGTATGTAGGTGCATAGATGAAGTCTCATGAATACACAGTTGTGTGCAGGAATAGGGGTATTCTCATACATGTACAGTTGCATGCGTGTAAGCAGGGGTAGTTTCATTTGGCAGGTAAGCAGTGGTAGTCTCATTATGTAGCCTCATTAACATACCATTGTTGGTAGAGGAACAGTGGTAGTCTTATGCAAGTACCGTTGTATGTAAGTACACAGTAGTAGTCTAATGCATGTAGTTGTAAGTACACTGAGGTGGTCTCATGCACATATGGTTGTACGTAGCTAAAAAGAGGTAGTCTCATGCACGTACAGTTGTATAAAGGTAAACTGAAGTAGTCTCATGCACATACAGTTGTATGCAGGTACACAGAGGTAGCCTCATGCACATACAGTTGTATGCAGGTACACAGAAGTAGTCTCATGCACGTACAGTTGTATAAAGGTAAAATGAAGTAGCCTCATGCACATACACTTGTATGTAGGTACACAGAGGTAGTCTCATGCACATACAGTTTTATAAAGGTAAACTAAAGTAGCCTCATGCACATACAGTTGTATGCAGGTACACAAAGGTAGTCTCATGCACGTACAGTTGTATGTAGGTACACAGAGGTAGTCTCATGCACGTACAGTTGTATAAAGGTAAACTAAAGTAGCCTCATGCACATACACTTGTATGTAGGTACACAGAGGTAGTCTCATGCAGGTACAGTTGTATGCAGGTACACAGAGGTAGTCTCATGCACGTACAGTTGTAAAAAGGTAAACTAAAGTAGTCTCATGCACGTACAGTTGTAAAAAGGTAAACTAAAGTAGCCTCATGCACATACAGTTGTATGCAGGAACACAGAGGTAGTCTCATGCACGTACAGTTGTATAAAGGTAAACTGAAGTAGCCTCATGCACATACAGTTGTATGCAGGTACACAGAGGTAGTCTCATACACGTACAGTTGTATGTAGGTACACAGAGGTAGTCTCATACACGTACAGTTGTATAAAGGTAAAATGAAGGAGCCTCATGCACATACAGTTGTATGTAGGTACACAGAGGTAGCCTCATGCACGAACAGTTGTATATAGGTCAACTAAAGTAGCCTCATGCATATACAGGTGTATGCAGGTACACAGAGGTAGTCTCATGCACGTACAGTTGTATGTAGGTACACAGAGGTAGTCTCATGCACGTACAGTTGTATAAAGGTAAACTGAAGTAGCCTCATGCACATACAGTTGTATGTAGGTACACAGAGGTAGTCTCGGAGCAGCTACTGCTGTTAGGATGTGAAGTGTTTGACCTTTAAATATTTGTATGACCACAACGTAAGATTGGTCTTGAAAATAAATTATTCTGCTTCATCAAGAAGTTAAAGCATTTCAGGTGTGGCTTTAAAAAAAAAAATGCAGAATATCAGACATTACTTCTCAAATATTGCATTTGACAGAGTCGACAGACAATTATTATGGAAAATAATGGCAAGATATGGAGTAAGCGAACACCTCATCGAAGTGTGCAAAAGTTTATACAGGGATTGTAGAAGTGTAGTTAGAATAAATCAGGGAACATCTCATCCTTTCACAGTGACATCTGGAGTAAGACAGGGGTGTGTCTTATCACCACTGCTGTTTATCACCTACATCGACAGTATATGCAAGAATGCCAAGCCCATGAATGAAGATCTTAGTAAGATCAACGAATTACTCTTTGCAGATGACCAGGCCTTGATAGCAGATACAGCCATGAAATTGCAACAACATCTAACATCCATGAATGAAGAATGTAAAACAAATAATATGAGAATCAACACTGAAAAGACAGAAGTAATGTCAATAGGAAAAAAGAAGACAGATCTAAACATAGCAATAGAATACAAAGGCATTAAACAGGCATCTGAGTTTAAATATCTGGGAACTACATTTACCGAAGATGGGAAATTGGATAAAGAAATTGACATTAGATGCAGTAAAGCAAACCAAGTATTGGGACAGCTAGCCCCCCCTCTTACAGCATAAGACAATCCCAATCAGCACAAAGAGACATCTTATTCAAAGCATATTTATTCCAACTCTGTGCTACCAGTGCCAGACATGGTCACTCACAACAAACCATAAAAGAAAATTAGTATCCACGGAAATGAGATGTCTGAGAAGGGCTGTGGGAGTGACCATAAGAGATAAGATCAGGAATGAGATCATAAGAGAACAAGTCGGCACAGAACCAATTCTGGATAACATACAAAGACAGCAAGTGAAATGGTTTGCCCACTTAGAGAGAATGCCTTGTGACACCATACCATACAAAGCATTCATGGAAAGAGAAGAAGGATGTAAAGCACGGGGTAGACCAAGAACAAGATGGAAGGATAACATCAGAGAAACTCTACAACAGCACGATGTGCTTATGGTCGAGGCAGCCAGAAGAGCTAGAAACAGAACCTTATATCTCCCTTGACACCCACAGCGGTAAAAGAGGAAGTGAAGAAGAAGACTTCTCAAATATAAATGCAGTACATCAGCCAATACTTCCTAGTTAAGTGTCAAGCCAATCAGCCAAACCTCAAGTAAATCATCAATGCTCTACTTGTCAGTCAGCATACTGTCAGTATCCATCTTGTCAGTCAGTATACTGTCAGTCTTTGGCACAAATATTACCTCTCTGACGCTTGCTATGTTGCTGCCTCTTGTAGCTGGGGAGGTCCTCTTCTTTAACAGGTTGTCTGATAGAATGTTTTTTCAACCAACTTTCCCATTTAGCAAGGCAACTCTGGTACAATACAAGAGGATTTGGGGAAATAAATTCATTCAAAATATTTTTGTTTATTAATTCATTTACTAATCATGTCATTCTCCCTCTAAGACACTTCACACTTCTGTACTGCTGTAAATCTGTTTCTGATATTTCTGTGTGGATTTTGATATTTCAAAGATCTAGAGTGATAAATTACACACACTGACTTGTCAACCATTCATATTCTAAATGTCCAAAAAAATTGTCCTTTACAAGATTTACAACAACAAAAAAAAAACCTTATTAACACATACTCATCTAAGAAGAACATTTGGTTAATATGAAATAAAAAAAACTGGTCCCAGTGAGAATGTATTACTTATTTTAAAAAATTTTTTTTGGTTAACATGAAGTTCTGTCGCCATAACTATTTTTTAGTCCACTGCATTTAATTTAACATGAACTTCCAAAGCTAAAGCTTTTCAATTTTCTATTGTTCCTCTACTAGGTATGAAATAAAGTTACAAGTTAACCTTAGTTAAAATCACATTATTTAAGTTAATCATTGTTAATTCACAATATATTTAGATGGTGGAACTAGGAGTTATTGTTTTTAACATTTCAAATTAGTTGCGTATCTTTTACAGGGCCTTGCAGAACCAACCCCTAGCACTTTCTGGCTGTTGTGGTTTTTTAGTCAAATTTACATGCAGTAGTTTGCCACTGCTTTCTGGACTGTCAGCTCTCGGTACCACAGTCGAAACCATCACAAGACAAACCGTCCGCAGCAGGGATCGAACCCGGCACCCCAACATTATGAAGCGCAGTCGCAGTGCCTAAGCCACAGACGCCCGTGTTTTTAACATTACTGTTACTTAATGCAATAGCTAGAAAATCAGAAGTATTGTGTTAACAATCAGCTTGTATTTGAACACAGAAGGAGCAAACAATTGGTCGTATGAATCTGACCTAGTGAGAGAGAAAATATGCCTTGTGTGACACGAAATTTGCATCGTGAAAGATAATTGGGTCTCTGTAATATCCCCAAAGACAACTGTGGCACACTGCAGCCATCCTTCATTGTGAAGACAGCTCATAATATAAGCCCTAGTTAGGACTACCAGCCAAGACAGACATATTGTGTTAGGACTACCAGCCTAGACAGACATATTGTGTTAGGACTACCAGCCAAGACAGACATATTGTGTTAGGACTACCAGCCTAGACAGACATATTGTGTTAGGACTACCAGCCTAGACAGACATATTTAGTTTGTCCTTTGAATATATAAATTAATAAATATCACTGACATTCTTCTACTTTTCATTTCAAGTTCTGACTGTTCTGCCTTTCAGCGTCAGGTTTTGGAGACACACTTGGTGAAGGCCTTGGTACTGCTGGGCAGTTGCTTGTATTCAAGTCCTCAGGTATTCAATCTACCAACAGCTTGCATAGTAGGCCTCTGGCTAGTTGACAGTGCTCTTTGTGGCGCACTATCTGTTGATTATCTTGACTCATGTCCAAACCATCTGATCTGTTGTCTATTAATATAGTTTAATACTGGTTCAATCCCAACTTCTTTCCTACATTTCTGATGTTATTGCTTTTAAACAAATGATTCATCATCATCAGGTGCCTTGTCGACTGGCGTGTGCAATCATGCCTCTCCATAATCTGCGATCTCCTGCAGCATGTATCAGTTTGTGTGCCGACACACCTCCATGCCATGCAACAAGACTGTCAAGCATCTTCTCTCATTGTCTTCCTCTATCCCTCCTTCCACATATCTTTCTAGTGGTCACAACATGTTCTATTTTCCCTCTTCTCATAACATGGCCGAAAAATGATGACTCTCTCCTTCTGATGTTTGTGATAAGTTGCCTTTGGGCTCCCGCCTCTTTCAAAACCTCTTGGTTGCTCTTAGTAGACCATTCATGTTTATATTTTTTTCTTTCACTCATATAAATGCAGATTTTGTTTACTTAAAAAAAAAGTCCTCCTGAAAAAAAGTCCTAAGGCATCTTTTCATACAGAAATTATTATCTGACCTGAATTTATTTTTGAGTTATCACATGAGCTGCAAACAAACGATTGTAACATCACAAGCAAAAATATAGCCTTAGCATCAAGTGTTAGTGTGATTTATACCACAAAGTACAAACATGTTAGGCTTCTGATCCAAACACTCAGACAGCTAAATACAATGCTAAACACACAAGTCTGATTTAAACATAAATTTCTTACGTGTTGCTATAGCACTGCCTAGCGTTAACCAATATAAGGTAAAAAACTAAACTAAACACATGATATGTAAGGAAATCAAACTTCTAATTTTAATAGTATGTAAATTGATACGCACCTCATGAGACTGAACTACTACCTGGATTGTTTCCTCCAAAAATGGATCCACACATGCTTTGTCACGCATTGCCTGTAATAACAGTGGATTCTGGGTAATATGCCATACAATTTGTTGGATTAAATAAATAAATAAATTTATATCAAGCATATTTGTTTACAAACATATATACTCAAGTAATGCATCTAATAGTAGTAGTAGTAAATTTTTACCCAACCAGGACATAACACAAGCGATAAATACCCGATTACACAAAATGCCACCATGCGGATAAGGAAAGATCCAAGAAACCGTGTTCGGCCATTAGGTCGGATTTAAGGCATCCAGCAAGGGGATAGTGAGATAACAAGTAATGCATCTAACGAGATTCAGCGAAATAGGCTAGGCAATCAACTGTGCAATGAATTGTTTTGTGTCCATATTATTTAAATACATACAAGGTCCGACAATTAAGTAATGAGACTAATTCCATTAATATTAAAATAATCAACAGTTGAAGATATAACCTGTGTTTTATTCAAAGTAAGCCACTTGTGCACTGATACAGAAAGTGGCACAATCTAATAAATACTGGAACGATCTCTGTAGTTCTTCTGTTGCTACGGCCCTCAAAGTCGATGTTACGGCCCTTTGGATGTCATCAATATCGTCAAAGAAGTGTCTTTTCAATGGTAAAATTAAATTTGGGAATAGATAATAGTCTACGCCTCTCTATAACATAACATAAAACTTTATCATGGGCTGCAAGCCTCATGCCTCTCTATAACATAACATCACCATGTGCTGCGAGTCTCATGCCTCTCTATACCATAACATAAAACTTTATCATGGGCTGCAAGCCTCATGCCTCTCTATAGCATAACATCACCATGTGCTGCGAGTCTCATGTCTCTCTATAACATAACATAAAACTTTATCATGGGCTGCAAGCCTCATGCCTCTCTATAGCATAACATCACCATGTGCCGCGAGTCTCATGTCTCTCTATAACATAACATAAAACTTTATCATGGGCTGCGAGCCTCATGCCTCTCTATAGCATAACATCACCATGGGCTGCGAGCCTCATGTCTCTCTATAACATAACATCACCATGGGCTGCGAGCCTCATGCCTCTCTATAACATAACATAAAATAGTATCATGGGCTATGAGCCTCATGCCTCTCTATAACATAACATAAAACTTTATCATGGGCTGCGAGCCTCATGCCTCTCTATAACATAACATCACCATGCGCTGCGAGCCTTATGCCTCTCTATGGCATAACATATAAAATTATGGTCTTGAAAGAAAAAAGTGCCAATACACACAAACATACCAAAACATAATGTGCATTATTATATTTATTGTTTATGATTCCTGGTTTTCTAAAGTGTCGACCATGTTAGACCATGGTAGTTTCAATCACTTTATACACAATTCTATATACTCAAAGGAAAGTTCAAGCAATTAATCAAACTGTCGCTGATACAAGAAAATCTTACTGACCATACAAAATTGGGTATCAATGCTCCTTATTTGATATAACTATACAGGACAGCAGAATGATGCAAACCAGTGAGGCTTATTTGATCTTAAGACACATTCTTACGACATTTAAGTTGGCAGAGCCTTATCATTTGATCACATTTCAACACACAATTTAGGAGTGACAAATTATCAACACTGGTGCTAAAACTATTTTATATCTGACCTTATGTCATCAAATTATTGATACGCACCTTTAAAGAAGCAAACACGAAGCCATAATCTTGCACTTGCGTTTTCAAGATTTGTTTTACTTCTGACTCGGAATGGTTTTCCACTTTATGAGATAGACCTGACAGAAGGGATCCATACATTATATACATATTCACATATTTCTAGTCTCATATGCTACAATATTTGATAAAATATACCTGTAACAAAGAAGGTGATGAACCGGTTATAGAATAGGACCATTTTTGAGGTTACACAGCTTACAGGTGATTGAAGGATACCCCAAAAGATGTCACTGTACAATGAGAACTGGTCACTTGAATCTGATGTAGACATTCTCTGTAAACATTATAAGATGGGTACATGGGAAACAGTTTATTTGGTGTGAAAATTGTGTGGCAAGAGATGACACAGCAAGATCTAAAGGAGCGGCTAGCCTGCTAGGAATCACAGAAGGACAAATATCTGTACAATAACTTGCAGACAAGTAAAATGGAGCATAGATAGGTATACTCCTCATGACATGGACTACAAGAGATATCGAGCATGTCACAACCCAAAAAAAAAAAATACAACAAACATGGATGCTTATGTGCGCACATACATGCAAGTAAATTTTTATGTAGGTACACAGAGTTAGGCTCATGCATGTACACATGTATGTTGGTACACAATGTCAGTCTCATGTACGCACATGTATGCGGGTACACAGTCTCATGAAGATACACATGTATGTTTATACACAGTCTCATGTATGCGGGTACACAGTCTCATGAAGATACACATGTATGTAGGTACACAGAGTTAGTTTCATGCATGCACAATTGTTAGTACCCATAATGTGTTTGTTTCAATTATTACAGTTCCCATCGAGGCAAAGACCACGCAGTTCTGATAGCAGAGAGTCCAAGTGCATGAACCTACATTGCGTGGGAGATCAGCATGCTGGGAAGAGGTGGAAAGGCTGGAAAAGCTAGGCAGTGCCTCATGACTTTTAGAGGTTTTCTCTTACAATACCACTTAGTTATGTTCAGTATTCTTTATCATAAACTTATCATCACTCTATTCTCAGGGGCTCAGTTCTCTAGCTGAAGCATCTCATTACCACCATACCATCAATGTTTAGTCAAATATACTACAAATGTCATATAAATGATTGCTGGTGTAATAAATCAAACATATGGACTTCATACTGCATCGTTTGTCAAGGTGTATTTGTTCTTACATGTTAAACTAAACTACTAGAAAAAATTACATTTGGTGGGCACTCATTAATAATTATTTACCAGGAGGAGGTAGTCAGGAAGGATCACCTGCCCTGTCTAAGTGTTGAGAGGAAAACTACCCACCACAAAATCATCTATTCACCCAGGACTTGCAACACACATACAGGTGTATGAAGGAACACAAAGAAAGTCTGATGCACATACAGTTGTGGGCAGGAACAGAGACTTAGTTTCATGCACATACAGTTGTATGCAAGTACACAGAGGTAGTCTCATGCACATACAGTTGTGGGCAGGAACAGAGACTTAGTTTCATGCACATACAGTTGTATGCAAGTACACAGAGGTAGTCTCATGCACATACAGTTGTATGCAAGTACACAGAGGTAGTCTCATGCACATACAGTTGTATGCAAGTACACAGAGGTAGCCTCGGAGCAGCTACTGCTGTTAGGATGGATGTGAAGTTTTAGACCTTCAAATATTTGTATGACCACAACGTAAGATTGGTCTGGAGAGTTAATCATCCTGTCTCTGTTGAGAAGTTACAGCACACCTTTTCAGAACTTTTCAGTTTGAAGCACCTTAGAGATTACTTTTCAAAAAATGCCTCGCTGTCAGACATTACTTCTTAACAAAATGCCTTGCGTATCAGATATTACTTCTAAACAAAATGCCTTGCATATCAGACATTACTTCTTAACAAAATGCCTTGCGTATCAGACATTACTTTTTAAAAAAATGCATTGTGTATCAGGCATTATGTCTCAAATAAAAATGCAGCATTATATCCATTACTTCACAGTAATGTGCCAAGCCAGTCTGCACATCAATTATCAATGTCACGCTTGTCTGTCAGTATACAGTCAGCATCCATCTTGTCAGTCAGTATATTTTCAGTATTCATCTTGTCAGTCTTCAGCACAAATATTACTTACCTCTCTGATGCATGGTACGCTGTTGCCTCTCGGAGTTTGTAAAGTCATCTTCTATTAAAGGTTGTCTGATAGAATTTTCTTCTAACCAACTTTCACATTCAGCATGGCATCCCTGGGTAATGAAGTCATACAAAATATCTTCACTATATTTGTGTTTATTATTAACTTATCATGACATTCTTCCTCTAAGACACTTCACACTTCTGTGCCGCTGTAAATCTGTTTCTGATATTTCTGTGTGGATTTTGGTATTTCAAAGATTTAGAGTGATAAACGTCACACACTAACTTGTCAACCATTTATATTTTAAGTGCTCAAAAAATTGTCCCCTACAATATTTACACACAAAAACGTTATTAACACAAACTCATCTAAGAAGAACACTTGGTTACCATGAAAAGAATTTGGTCCCAGTGAGAATGTATTACTTATTATAAATAATTTTTATTGGTGTTAACATGAATTTCTATTGACCTAAACAGTTTTTTTTTTTTTAATTAACCTGCATACAATTTAACCTCAACTTCTAAAGCTAAAGTGTTTTATATTTTTGTCTCTACTAGGTATGTAAAAAATAAAGTTAAAAGTTAAACATTGTTGAAATCACATTTTTTGGGCTAGCCATTGTCGAATTCACAAAATTTGGGCTAACCATTGTCACAATATTTTGATGGTGGAAGTAGGAGTTATTGTTTTTAACATTACTGTTACTTAATGCAATAGCTATAATATCCCCAAAGACAACTGTGGCACACTGCAGCCATCCTTCACTGTGAAGACAGCTCATAATATAAGCCTTAGTTAGGACTACCAGCCAAGACAGACATATTGTGTTAGGACTACCAGCCAAGACAGACATATTGTGTTAGGACTACCAGCCAAGACAGACATATTGTGTTAGGACTACCAGCCAAGACAGACATATTTTGTTTGTCCGTTGAATATATAAATTAATAAATATCACTGACATTCTTCTACTTTTCATTTCAAGTTCTGACTGTTCTGCCTTTCAGCGTCAGGTTTTGGAGACGCACTGGGTGAAGGCCTTGGTACTGCTAGGCAGTTGCTTGTATTCAAGTCCTCAGGTATTCAATCTACCAACAGCTTGCATAGTAGGCCTTTGGCTAGTTGACAGTGCTCTCTGTGGCGCACTATCTGTTGATTATCTTGACTCATGTCCAAACCATCTGATCTGTTGTCTATTAATATAGTTTAATTCTGGTTCAATCCCAACTTCTTTCCTGATACTGTTATTTCTGATGTTATTGCTTTTAAACAAATGATTATATAGATTATAATTAAGTATTTGTAAATATCCAAGCGGATGCCTTTGGAGGAAAGGTAAATACCCTTGTTAAAGAACCAAAAGCCTTGGCACGTTTAAACATGTCAGATAAGTTTTGAGAAGAACGGCCAAGCTGAACTAGCACTCTGGTCCTACAGATTGGAGGAGAGGTTGAAAGCCAAATACTATCAAAAGTATCTTGTCACTAAAACAGGAACAAGTGAAAGATGGAGATGTCTTAGACACGTTTGCAGAATGCCCATTGACACTCTAACAAGGATATCTCTCCGTTGGACAGAAAATGGAAAAAGAATATGAAGTTGACCTTAAGAAACCTACAGAAAGACCGCCGAAAAATGAAAATTAAAGAATGTAAAATGACATGGAATAACAAAGGCAGAAAAGCAACAGATCGGCAGCAATGGAGATCACTTCGGAATACCTCTTTGTCAACGCTGACGCAAAGTCAATACAGAATAAAGATTGATCCGCAAAACTTTGTGGCACTTCCTTAGTAGACCATTCATGTTTATATTTTTTTCTTTCACTCATATAAATGCAGATTTTGTTTACTTAAAAAAAAAGTCGTCCTGAAAAAAAGTCCTAAGGCATCTTTTCATACAGAAATTATTATCTGACCTGGTTTTATTTTTGAGTTATCACATGAGCTGCAAACAAACGATTGTAACATCACAAGCAAAAATGTAGCCTAAGCATCAAGTGTTAGTGTGATTTATACCACAAACTACAAACATGTTAGGCTTCTGATCCAAACAGGTAAATACAATGCTAAAAACACAAGTCTGATTTAAACATAAATTTCTTACGTGTTGCTATAGCACTGCCTAGCGTTAACCAATATAAGGTAATAAACTAAACACATGATGTGTCAGGAAATCAAACTTCTAATTTTAATACTATGTAAATTGATACGCACCTTACGAGACTGAACTAATACCTGGATTGTTTCCTCCAGAAATGGATTCACACATGCCTTGTCGCGCATAAGCTGAAATAACAGTGGATTCTGGGTAATATGCCATACAATTTGTTATATTAAAAAAAAAAACTATTTATGTCATGCCCCTCTCTGTTCACAAACATATATATTTAATAAAGCAATGCATCTGACAAGATACTGCAAAATATGCTAGGCAATGTATTGTTCATGTCCAAATCATTTAAATATAGATGTGAGTCTGTGTATGTATATATACATGTGTGTGTATATATAAATATATACACACATATCGTTTTGTCAGTGGATAAGATGCATCCCAAATCCCATGCTGTAAGAAGACCTGTCTTAGATGTTGGCGGGTCTTGCTAACTGCACTTGCTTTGCCATTGGCTATGAGTCCCACGCCTCTATAGCATAACATTACCGTCTCAAAAAATTTGAAGGTGCCAATACATACATGCATTTCTTAATACAGCAGGCATTATTGTATTTATTGTTATAATTATAATAATTTAAAATATGTGTGTTAGTATCAATTTAGCATTAATGATCCTTATTTAATACTATTGTACATGACAACACAGAAGCAGCAAAAAGTTAGGCTTTTTTGGCCTCCAACACATTTTTGATCCCCCCAAGTGGGCAGAGAAGTTGCAGTGGCGTAGCAGCTAGAGGTTTCACCTGCGAATCAGAAGGGCATGGGTTCAGGTTTCGACGGAAACAGGCTTTCTTAAAGATGACATTGACTCCCAGTCTTGAGTGGGAACAAGGTGAAACGACATTGGCTCCTAGTCTTGAGTGAGAACAAGGTGAAATGACATTGGCTCCTAGTCTTGAGTGGGAACAAGGTGAAATGACATTGGCTCCCAGTCTTGAGTGAGAACAAGGTGAAACGACATTGGCTCCCAGTCTTGAGTGAGAACAAGGTGAAACGACATTGGCTCCTAGTCTTGAGTGGGAACAAGGTTAAATGACATTGGCTCCCAGTCTTGAGTGAGAACAAGGTGAAATGACATTGGCTCCCAGTCTTGAGTGGGAACAAGGTGAAATGACATTGGCTCCCAGTCTTGGGAAGTGAAGGTGGCAGGCATTATGTTAACAACATCAACCACCAAGTCCCGGATGATCCATAAAATATAGGCCGAGCCCTACATGCCCCATACACCTAAAGATATAAAAAAAAGGTCCTTTACATTTACTCTACAAGTGGGCACAGTTTTATCATCTCAACACATTATCAACACACACAATTTAGGAGTGAAAAATTATCAACACTAACGCCAAGGTTTTATTTGATATCTGCTTCTATGTCACCAGCATTAAATTATTGATACGCACCTCTAAAGAAGCAATCATAAAGTCGTAATTTTCCACTTTCTCTTTCAAGATTTGTTTTACTGCTGCGGCTGAACAGTCATCCACTTTACAAGACAGATCTGATGGAAGGGATCCACACAATTTGTAAGTATTCATATATTTCTGCTCTCCTCCGAACTTCTACCCCCGCAGCATATCGGCCTGAAATATCAGTTCGGTGCGTAGTCAGATTAAAAATATGCTGGCTCCGTATAAGGAAACAATTGCTCTAACAGGCTCTCAGTGATATGTTACTTGCGGACCTGTTACTTATTGTTTCTGATTACCTGACAATTCTAAGAGACGTAACAGGCTCTCAGCGATATGTTACTTGCGGACCTGTTTCTTATTGTTTCTGATTACCTGACAATTCTAAGAGACGTAACACTGCAGACGATAGTAGCAGATGACGAAAATAGCGACCGTTGATACTGTCCATTGTCGCACTGTCTGCTGACGAACAAATCGCGGCAAATCTAGGATCGGCTGGGACAAACGACACAAATGCTCTAACAGGCTCTCAGCGATATATTACTTGTGGACCTGTGTCTGTGACTATGCCTCACAGCCGACAGTATCCCCCGCGCCGCTACGTGCGGCGCGGATAGGGGCGAAACTAGATGGCTGGGACTCACGAGCGGCAGCTACCGCATCTCCTGCAACTTCCTCCAGTTACTTTGCTTGCGCAGGGGATATGCTCGGCGGTGAGTTTAATCGCGTTTTGCGCATGCCGAAAAGTCTGACATCTTTATTTTTTTAGTTGCATATCCTTTACAGGACGTTGCAGAACCAACCCCAGCATTTTTTTTCGCTGTTGTGGTTTTTCTAGGCAAGTTTACGTCCAGTAGTTTGTCATTGCTTTCTGGACGGTCGGCTTCTCGATACCACCGTCGAAATCAGCGCAAGGCCCGCAGCTGGGATCGAACCTGGCATTACAGAGCGCGTTCGTAACGCCGACGTCTGACATCTACCGCTGCTAAATCCTCAATCGGAAGAACATGTAATGTCTTGAAATTGTCAACGCTCGCTTTTTTCGTCTGCTAATATCGTGTGCAGAAAACGCTCGACATTGTCACTGGTCGCTTTTATCGTCTGCTACTATCGTCTGCAATGTTGCGTCTCATGACATTGTAAGGTACTCCTAGTTTTGCGGCAATTTGTTCCTCGGCGGGAACTCCGACAAGTCTGTATTTTTAATCGGACTACGCACCGAACGGATAGTTCAGGCCGCAATACTGCGGGGGGGGGTAGAAGTTCGGAGGAGAGCCCATATTTCTAGTCTGCTATGCTACAATATTTAACCAAATATACTTGTAACAAAAAAAAGGTGATAAACAGTACAATGAGAACTGGTCACTTGAATCTGATGTAGACATTCTCTGTTCACATTATGAGATGGGTAAATTGCAAAACTTTTATGTGGTGTGAAAATTGTGTTGCTGGAGATGACACAGCAAAATCTAAAGGAACAGCTAGCCTGCTAGGAATCACAGGACAAATATCTGTACAATAACTTGCCGACAAGTAAAATGGAGCATACAAGAGATATCGACATGTATTAGATATCGAGCATGTCACAACCAAAATAACATTATGATTATTTCTGCCCCATACAGAAGTACTGATTTGACATTAGAATTAAAAATTTTTAGTTTAGTATTTCTTTTAACCTCCACAAATTCCCTATGAAAGCTATGACACACAGACTAACCAAACACATACAGGCTCACACAGATGGGCAGACACATACATATACACACAGAGAGACACACACATACCTACGCTGACACAATCTTACATGCATGCATACACACAGACACACTCAGGCACGCATACACATACTCAAACACACACACAATCTTTTGCAATTACCTATACAGACATTCATACATACAGAGAATAATTCATAAACAAACACACCTACTCATACACAGCACATATACATGACACGTATACGCATTCTTACATACAGATGTATTTAGGTACAAAAAAGGTAGTCTTGTATACATTCAGGTGTATGCAGATACACAGAAGTAACCTCATGCATGCACAGATGTCTGTAGGTATACGTAGGTAGCCTCATGCACGCACAGATGTATGCAAGTATACAGAGAAAGTCGTCTCCTGTGTGTACAGTTGTATGTAGTCACATAGGGGTAGTAGTCTCATTATTGTACATTTTTATGCAGGTATACAATGAGAGTAGTCTCATTCACCTAGTTGTATGTGGATATACACAGAATATAGTCCCATGCATGTACACTTGTTAGCATAGAGAGGTATCCTAGGACAGTAAATAATTCTGTGTCTGCCAAGAAGTGAAAGCATGTGCACCAGAACTTTTCAGTTAAAAGACTAGCATATCAGGCATTACTACTCAAATGAAAATGCAGCATGTCAGCCATTACTTCACAGTGCAGTGTCATGCCAAAAAAGCCCATCAAAAATCTGCGTCAAACTTGTCAGTTAGCATATTGTCAGTATCCATCTTGTCAGTCAGCATATTGTCAGTATCCATCTTGTCAGTCAGTATATTGTCAGTATCCATCTTGTCAGTCAGTATATTGTCAGTATCCATCTTGTCAGTGAGTATATTGTCAGTATCCATCTTGTCAGTGAGTATATTGTCAGTCAGCATATTGTCAGTATCCATCTTGTCAGTCAGCATATTGTCAGTATCCATCTTGTCAGTCAGTATATTGTCAGTGTCCATCTTGTCAAGTCAGTATATTGTCAGTATCCATCTTGTCAGTTAGTATATTGTCAGTCTTCGGCACAAATATTACCTCTCTGATGCATGCTACGCTGTTGCCTCTTGGAGTTTGTGAAGTCCTCTTCTTTTACAGGTTGTCTGATAGAATTTTCCTCAAACCAACTTTCCCATTTAGCAAGGCATTTCTGGTTCAAGACAAAAAGATTCTGGACAATGAAGACATTCAAAATCTTCACTGTATTTGTGTTTATTAATTCATTAACTAGTCATAACATTCTCCCTTTAAGACACTTTTCTACTGCTGTAAAACTGTTTCCTGTTATTTCCAGGTGGATTTTGGTATTTCAAACATCTAGAGTGATAAACCCCAGACACTAATTTCTCAACCATTTATGCTCATAACAATTTACAAAAAATGTTTACAAAAAACCCCCATTAACATAAACTCATCTAAGAAGAACACTTGGTTTATATGAAAACAAATTTGGTCCCAGCGAGAATGTATTACTTATTATAGAAAAGTTTTATTGGTTAAAACAAATTCTGGGGCCTTTAACTGTTTTTTTTAGTCCAGCGCACATTATTTAACACAAACTTCTAAAGCGTTGGCAGCGCCTAAGCCACAGACGCCCGTCTTTTTAACATTACTGTTACTTAATGCAATAGCTAGACAATCAGAAGTATTGTGTTAACAATCAGCATGTATTTTAACACAGAAGGAGCAAACAATATGAATCTGACTTAGCGAGAGAGAAAATATGCCTTGTTTTTATAGATAATATCCGCAAAACTTTGTAGCACTAGATGAGAAGACCATTCTCATTTATATTTTTATTCTACACTTTTGAATGGAGATTTTTGTTTACTTTAAAAAAGAAGACATCCGCTGAAAATAAGCCCTAAGGCATCTTTTCACATCTGACCTTGTTTTATTTTTGATAAGAAACAGTATCGCACGAGCTGTAAACATTTTTGGCTTTTGATCTTCAACAAACAGGTAACTACAATGCTAAAAACACGAGTCTGTTTAAAACATAAATTGCTTACGTGTTGTTTCAGTACTGCCCAGCATTAACTAATATAACAAGAAATTAAATCCTATTATTTTAAAAGTAGGTTAATTGATACGCACCTTTTGAGATTCAACTACTACCTGGATCGTTTCTTCCAGAAATGGATCCACACATGTCTTGTCACACATAAGCTGAAATAACAGTGGATTCTGGGTAATATGCCATACAATTTGTTGGATTAAAAAGAAATATTTATATCATGCCTCTCTCTGTTCACAAACATATATTTTCAATAAAAAAAATACATCTGACAAGATACAGCAAAATATGTTAGGCAATCAATTGTGCAATGAATTTTTTGTGTCTGCAAAACTGGTTCTGAAACCCCAAGATCTAAGAGGCCTTTTCTTGACGTCGGGTCTTGAATTTCACAACACAGCAAGGATTGTTGTATTTATTGTTATAATTATAATAATTTAAAATAATGTGTAAGAAGTTTCAGTCTTTTTTTTTTATATATATACAATTCTATTTCCCTACAAGGAAAGTTAAAGCTTTAAATAAAACTGTCTTAAATCCAAGAAAATCTTACAAATAGCAGTTTGTATTTACTGTAAAATTAGGCATCAATGATCACTTTTGATATTACAGTATATGACAACGAACGAACGAAATTTTCAAAGGGTTACAAATTGAGCACGCAGGTCCGTCTGACATTCAGCCCTTCTAAGCACTAATTTTTTTTAACTAATGCCTGTTATCAATAATGCATGTTATGGATGTAATAAAAAAATATATGTTATGGAATAATGTATACACACATGTGGACACAATATTACACACTCAAACACACACATACATACTCTTACATTCTCATACATGCACACTAATATACAGATATGTGTAATACATGCACACACTCATCTTCATACATACAAAAACATAAAACACACACACATACATAGACATACATGCACACACACAAACTTGCATACATTATATACACCCACACCTACAAATACACAATCACACATACACAGGTAAATATGCATACATACAACCACCAACATGCATGCATACACACATAGATATATACATACAACATGACAATATAGATGAAGCAGACAGGCCTATTTTTTGCCTCCGACACATTTGTGCTTCCCCCAAGTGGGCAGAGAAGTTTCCGTGGCGTAGCAGCTAGATGTTTCGCCTGCAAATCAGAAGGGCATGGGTTCAGGTTTCGATGGAAACAGGCTTTCTTAAAGATGACCTTGGCTTCCTGGTGGACCTAACCTTGAGTGGATACCAGGTACTGTCCTGGGTAGTAAAGGTAGCCGGCATATGTTTACCAAATCAACCACCAAGTGCCAGTTGACCTATAAAATATAGGCCCAGCCCTACATGCCCAATACACGTGAAGACATGGAAAAGTGCCTTCACATTGACTCTACAAGTGGGCACAGCTTTATCATCCCAACACATTCAGTTAAGAAGTGACAAATTATCAACATCAGGGATAAAGCTCTCTATGATATCTACCTCTATGTCACCAGCATTCAATTATTGATACTCACCTCTAAAGAAGCAATCACAAAGCGATAATCTAGCATTCGCTCTTGCAAGATTTGTTTGACTGCTGCCACTGAACAGTCATCCACTTTACGAGATAGATCTGATGGAAGGGATCCACACAGTTTGTAAGTATTCACATATTGCTAGTGTCATATGCTACAGTATTTAACGAAATGTACCTATAACAAAAAAGATGATGAACTGTTTTATAATTGTACCAGTTCTGAGGTGACACAGCTGACAAATCACTTGTTTCTAAAGCTAAACGTGAGAGGAGCAACTTTACTGCCCTGTGTTTTATCCCATATGACCCAGCCTCTCTCTGCAGAACAGCTAGCTGCCTGCACAGAGCATGAACTTTATAGCTGCAGCAATGACCTCCAGGGATCTACGTAAAAACTGCACTCTGCAGCATGAAAATTGTGTGCCAAGAAATGACAACAGATCTAAAGAGAAAATGCTTGACATTGTGTACAGGAGAAACATCTTACATCTAGTGAATTCATGTTTTCTTGTCAATCATTCTTCTTTTTCTGCCCTTTATCCGCAGATGGAGAACAGACCCTTAATCAACTAATCCTATTCTTTGCTATCATGCCCAGATCTTGATACCCTCACTCTAGCTCCCTACTTCATGTGTGTGGTTTTTTTTTTGGGGGGGGGGGGGGGGGGGGTTGGGGGGGGTCTATCTGAGCCTTTTTAATAAATAGCAGGACGTTATGATAGATGTGAAATAGGCCAGGTATCTGATGGATAATAGCTGAGCCGAAACAACTTTTTAAAAGTGGTTGACTGTGTACCTCAGCGTGGTGACACCGACACTGAGGGCTGAAAAAAGGATGTATAAGGACGGAGCTGTACACAGAGTTACCAACCACAGGAGATGTTGATCAGCTGCAATCAAATCTCTTGGTCTAGGGCTGAGTCTCAACAGTTCTGTCTTCTTTCATTCTGCAATGACTGGCCGATGAGAGCCAGAGTGGACACTCAATCTCTGGTGGCCACCAACTCTTGATATCCCCCACCAGCTCAGTTCAAGTCACAAAGTGAGCCCTTGTTCGCAGCTCATGGCGGGGACCTCTGAGGTGAGGTACGGAGTATCTCCTAATACACAACACAACCGCCTTAACCTTCCCTGACAACTATGACCGAAATTGCCACAGCACAAATATCTCATGTGATAATTATGAATACTACCAAGTAAATTAATCAATTAACAATATGAACAGTGAGCAATAATACAACAGTTTTCAGTTTTTATTCACATATTCCCTCAGGGGGCCACGGAAACGGGTTTTGGATATTGACTGTTTAGTGTTGACAGTCAGCATCTACAATGTATTTAACCCTTTAGAGACCGGAACCTTTTTGCAGTTTAAGTGCCAACAAGTCTTCAGCAGGGAATTCTCAAAGTTTATACACACAAAAAATAATAAAACATAAAGTGTTTAATTAACACATAGAAAACTATATATTCATGTAGAAAATTTAATGGCTAACAGAATATTTATGAATCAAACTAAAATCTCAAAATGTACTTAAATTAACTATTCTAGTTGTCCTTTCAGCTACTTTGTGTCGGGCCGATATTTCGGCTGTAGTCCAGAGGGTTAAAATCCCAGCAATATTATATTTATTAGTACTTGGGGCATTAATTTTAATGGCCACAGGATGTGAGATCTTTCACAACATGTTAGCCGGTACCCACAATGTGAGTTACACCCAATACCTCAGTGTGCATACTTGCAGCTTGTACCATACCTGCAGAGTCCACAATGCCAGCAAGGACCCAGTTTGTAAGCCGGCATTATTAGATATTACTTACATCTTTTATTATTCTCCATAGTCAAAGTCTGTTGTTCAGCCAGGTACACCTGCGGCAAAGAAAGTTCAGGTTGATTACATGCCAGGTTGTTGTTGCTGTGTTAATACAGACAGCTGAAAAATTCCAGGTTGGCAGTTAACATATTCTGCTTAATCATGTAATGAAATAGATTAGGTGTTGTCTCTTCCAGTCTGTAGGATTAACATTTCAAGGTCTTCCCATGTGTGTAATGTAAAAATGTGGTTGCAAGGATGTCAATAATAAAACCTTAACAGAGAAATCTATGTGATCCTTGAAAGACTTCTGTTGAAGGTGATTCCCAGCTATCGCAGTCTGCCGTCTCTTTTGATGTTCCTGCCATTTATTTTGAGGATTGGAACATCAGCTCTAACACTCCTGTTGTCCAAAGAACACCACAGAGCAGTTGCTTTTTCTGGGTTAATTACAGCACTTGTCTCTGTACACCTACATACGTGAACATCATCTGCAAATGTAAATATTCTGCTGATTCCGGGTGTTTCCAGGTCCACAATTTTGCTCGTAAAAATGTAGAAAAGTACAGATTATATTGCAGATCTCTATGGTAGTCCTGGGGCTATAATACATGGTTCAGAGGTCCATGAATCCAGGCGGAGAGCTACTTGACGAGTATACAAAACGGCTGCTATCCAGTTCATCTTCTAAATCAAGTGCTGCTGCAACCATTTCCTGTCTGTTCTGGAGGCAAAAGTGGCTGCATTCGACCATGTGTCATTCCCTGGCCGGTAACTTCCCAAACTTCGTGGAAGGAGATTTCTCTGTTCTAAAAATTCTTGTAGCTACCAGCCACTATCTTCTCCAGCACTTTACCAAAGGTGTTTTGTAGGGTTATGATCCTAAAGCCCCCGAGTGTTAAATGATTCTTGCCAGGTTTAGGAAGTGGAATTAGGTAACTGTGCATCCACTCTTGTGTGACTCAAGCTGTCCTAATGCTCCGATTAAAACAAGCAGTCATCTCCAGCAGGTCTACATTGCTCATGTCTTTCATGTGGGAATATTTAGCCACGTCAGGCCCGCATGCAGTGTCTTTCACCCTTTTCAAAACGTTTCACATCTTGCACCTGTATGAAGTCCTCATGTTTGTTCCTCAAAGTGACTGCCAAATCTTCTCTAACTTTATCCCTGTTACCTCCATCATTCTTATCTGTCTGTGAAATGAACCTGTTCAGGAAAGCCTCCCCCTCCTCTTTGTCTGTGGTTAAGAGCATACCATAATCTCTATGAATTGTCCCCACTACCTTGGGCCATGATAACAATTTATAGAGATGATGGTATGCTCAGTCCATGTGACTAGAAAGACTTTCCAGATGATAGTGTTATAATGTACTATGAGGAGGCATAGGGCTCACAGTCAGTGTGACTAGAGAAAACATAGGACTCACAGTCAGTGTGACTAGAGAAAACATAGGACTCACAGTCAGTGTGACTAGAGAAAACATAGGACTCACAGTCAGTGTGACTAGAGAAAACATAGGACTCACAGTCAGTGTGACTAGAGGAAACATGGGACTCACAGACAGTGTGACTAGAGGAAACATGGGACTCACAGTCAGTGTGACTAGAGGAAATATGGGAATAGCAAGACCCACCTGTGATACGAAAAGCCTGTGTGTCAATTTTAAGCTGGAAAATTCACTTTTTAGTGAAGGAAAATAATTAAAATTAAAAAAAAATTATAATGGAAAATGACAGAAACGAGATGATGGCATGTTCCCCAGTGAAAACGGCCTGCAATGACAAAATGTGTATGTT